TTAAGTACAAGCACTGTTGATTCTAGGACACATAATTTTAATCTCCACATTTTATCAGCATTAAAATAAAATTATCTTTTATTAATACTTCTTCTGAGCCAAGCATTTTAATAAATACTTTATGTATATGAACCTCATTTAAGCCTCACAGCAACTCCTTTAAAACTCCTGATCTTACCGATTCTGTACACCAGCTTCCAGATTTAAGAAGTACTTTAAAAAATTACATATATTTGTTGTTCCAGAGATATTAAGCAAAAATAATTTAGTTTCTCTAAATTGCAAAAGAAGTAAGCCATTTAAAAACCTTAGTACCTTTAAAAAGGGATATTACTAATTAAATAAATTTGCAGAAGGAAGCCTGACACCTTTCAATCCTTAATATTCTGTTAAAGAAGGGTACTAGGTGACTCTTAAACAGGCATAAATTCAACCCACCCTGATAAGAAATTCGGTAAATACAGCTACATGAATTTTTGCCAGAAATTACCTCATGATAAGATAATGTCTATATATGTAATATTGAAATATTTTTTACTAATAAATTTTAAATATTTTCACTAATAATTGCAGAAAGGAGTGGCTTTCATGTCTCTCAGACAGTCTAAAATCACACTGTTGTCTTTGCATGTGAATATTCTAGAGGCAGAAAATAAGAAAAGAGAAATTATTTTAACATGGTTTACAGGTGAACCATTAGGTTGCTGATATTATAGCTTTTTAGATCAGTTCATTGGTTTGAAAATATATTGTAGATATATGTTGAAAATAAATTCTTAAATTTAGAAGTGTTTTTATTTTTTTAACCATTTTCCTTAATGATAGTACTTTCTCTGCAATCATATTTCTTACATGGGGCATAAATGCAGTTGACACTGATATACTAGGTATGTCATGTATGGCATTCTTCTCTCATTCACTTATTTATTCATTCAAAAGTATTCATTTGCCTACTTAGAGCCAAGTACTGTCCTGTGTGCTTAGGGTGTGTCAGTGAACTAAACAAAAGTTATGGAGTTTCTATTTTAGAAAGCATGGTTCAAACAGTTAGTAAACATCATAGGTAAGTAAGCAGGCATGCACCATGGTTAGTCTATAGGGAGAAAAATTCTATATCCGCGTCTTAAAATCATGCTAATGAAACTACATAGAAAACTACTCATTTTTAAGCTTGACTTGGTTTCCTTGACCCCATTTTAAAATATTGGCTAAATAAAATCCTGGGAAACATTCTCTCCAAAAACTGAGTTAAAATGATGTCATTAATAAAGAAAATGGGGTTGGGAGGGAGAGCAAAGGAGGAAGATTACCTCTAGATAGGAAATAGGGGTGGGATGGAAAGGGAGGGAGAAGGGGAATAGAATGGAAGGTGAAAGGAGACCCTCATCATTATACAAAATACATGTATGAAGATGTGAATTTGGTGTCATCATACCTTATATATAATCAGAGATATGATAAATTATTGTATAATGGTGTATTAAGACTTATAATGCAAAATAAATTAAAAAAATAGAACAAAAAGAGCACACATAAAAAAAGTAATAAAAAAAGAATACAAATAATAATAAATATTAGGATGTGGGGGAAAGGTACATTCATACATTGTTGCTGGGACTGCTAATTAGTACAACCACTCTGGAAAGCAGCAGGTGCTTCCTTAAGACTAGCCACATCAACACAATATAACCCAACTGTCCCACTCCTTGATATTTATCCAAAAGAATTAAAATCAGCATACTATCAAAATATAGGCACATAAGTATTTTTAGTATGAAATTCACAATTATAGAATTTGCTGGTAAAGAGAACTGGAAAACATCTTGCTAAGTGAAATAAGAAGAAAATCAATAAAAACAGAAAATCAAGGGTTGGACCATATGGAAGCAAAAGAAGGGGAAAAAATGGGAGGAGGGAATTGGATATTATAAAGCTATAGGGAAGACCAGTGGAGTGGAAGGAGATGGAGAGGGAGGAGGGAAAGGAAAGGGGAGGAAATACAGGGACATTTTGAAAAAAAAAAAAAAAAAAAAAAAAAAGAAAATGACCATGTTTTGCTCCTACAATAATCTCTTGCTTTTTACAACTCATAATCTCATTATTGCTATATTGTGTAGTAAATTAATATCTTATATTTTTTCCCCCAGAACTGGAAATTAAACCAAGGGACATTCTACCACTGAGCAACATGACAGCCCCCCCCCCCTTTTTTTTTTTTTAAATTTTGAGACAGTCTCTCATTAAGTTGCTGAGGTTGACCTTGAACTTGGGATCATCATGCCTGAGCCTCCCAAATCACTGGAATTAGAGGCATACTTCACTGTGCCTAGTTTATCTTGGGTACTTTTGTTAGTGGTTTAATAAAATCTAAAGTACTTTGTATTACAAAATTTATGTTTCTGTAAACATTTGTTACTATTTAAGTTATATCATTTGCTAGCTTTGAATATTCATGATAATTTTTTGTTATAATTCCAAGTAAAATTTTCAACACATCTTATTTTTATCATAAATTATTCATTTTTTTTAGAATACTGTCTTTGTGGTTGTTTATAATAGTTGTCTTTCTGATTTTTTTTTTTTTTGCTATGAAGGGAAAGATAAAATTTTAATATGTATAGTAATAGCTTGGGATTAAATGGGATATAGGTTCAGCATATGGTTTGATAGCATTTTTCAGTGTTGTCACAAAATATTAACTCAAATGTTAGTTCTTAACAGTTTTTGTTGACTTAATTAAATTCATTCCTTAGGTCATCAGAGTGGATTCATTTTTTAATTTTTTAATCAGGAAACTGAGTGTCTACGTTGTTTCTACATAAAATTACAAGTATACCTCATGTTACAAGATCTTTTACCTGAAATGTGAAATAGACATGAATTATTTTGTTTTGATGAATAGATTGGGATACCTAAGATTAGAGGAATAGGGTTTTAAGAAGGATTTTTGAGAAAGGGACAGGAGTTGACAAAAAAGAGTATTATTGATAGATTTGAGAATATTATTAAAGCAATAGATATCAAATTTTCATTTGGGATACTACCTTTCGGTTTTCAAACAGTTCTCAGTGAGTACAGTTCTTTTAATTTTATGTTTTAGTCAGTATACAACACTGAGATCATGGTAAATAGTGTAGAAATAAAATGGGAATAAACTAGTGTTTCTACTGAGTAGAATAGGGGAATAGGGAAAAATAGGGGTGGAGAAACAACTCATGAACTCATATGCTGTGTTGCAGGAGTTGTTTTTCCACACCTGCCACAGGCATCCTGTAACTCTTGCAGAAGGTACACTGGGTTAACCCCAGGTACCCTGTCAGCATCTGATGGACAAACCAGCAGTCTACCTACCCTGGCTGCACTCTTGAGCCAACTCCAGCTGGTTTCTTGCACAGGTACACTACAAGAACCTCCTGATGGATTTTTACTTTTCTGCTCATTAAGACTGATTACCACATGTACTCACACATCCCTTAACTATATAATTAGATACAATAACATTGAGCAGGGTTTCACAAAGGGAGTTCCCAATTCCAAAGAACTTCATCTACTTTGAATCCTTGCTTTTGAATACTAATTTTCTTAAACAATATAAACCATAACCCACCTAGGTCTGTGCCACAGCTCAGGTCTTGAGCATGCACACATCTTCTTTAGTGTGTCTTTTGCTTTTTCAATAAACCTCTTCCTTTGCTACTGAAACTTGATATATCTTGAAATTGCTTTCCCAGAGAGGTCTAGAGCCTAAAGGATTCAAGTAGAAGTCTATGCTTCAAGAGACTTCCTTGGACCTCTTACTAGTGATACAATGACACTCATTTGAAGAGATTTTCTCCACTTTGAATACTTGGTTATTTATAAACATATGAAATTTGAGGTTTGGAAGTAGAAAAATAGTGGCCCTGTCAAAATTTTGAACCTTTTCTCTAACTTTTCTATTTAATATTTAATCTTTTGTAACTGTTTAATTAGTGCTCATGTGCTACTCAAATTCAATCTTATACACAGTAACTCCCCCCCCTCCCCCGTTTCAGGGGAACAAAGATCAAACCCAGGGACTCTACCACTGACCTACATCCCCAACTCCACAGAAACTATTAATTTTTTTTCTCTTTTACAAGAAACTCTGTGGCTGGACAAATGATTTATTTTCTATACTCCGGAATTGTCAAATGGCTTTAAATTAAATTTTTGCTTACAAATTCTTTGGGAGAAACTAATTTTTGTTTCCAAGAGAATTCTAAAAGTAATGATGGACTGATGACAAATGAAACATGTAACTAAACCTGGGAAAGCATATGTATTTGTACTTTAAATGAATAGTAAAGATTTAACTGGATTAGATTTGTTGTGATTATTGGTATTTTTAATAAATTTCAGGAAAGTGTAATCTAGCCTGATCCATTTGAACTTTTGCTTGTAATGTGTGGAGTAGTTGCCAGCTGATTAATGGCCATGATAGCCTTTGCTTCTCTAATATGCATGCCAACTTTAGAATTTTTACTAAAAATGACAATTCAAACTGTCACCTACAGAATTAAGTGGTAAAATGGCAACTGAGCAGTGAGATGGAGGGGATGGAGTTGAGAATTTTAGGAATGAATTCACTCATACAGAGAACATGTTTTTCTTTGGAATAATGAACATATTAGTATGAAATATTTAATGTAAAATGTTTTGGTTTTGATTAGTCAAAGATACAATCTTTTACTTGCTATGTAAGCACTATTTAACAGCTGAAAGAAGGAAAAGTGATGGTGGTACTAGGAGGACTTTTAGGCATAGAGCTAATTAAACTGTTAACTAATAGAGCCCTAATATATGTGGTTGATTTAGCATGCAAATTTAAGCTTTTACTTTTTACTTGTTATTAGGTGGTTAGATTATCTTCCAGCCTGTTGACCAGCCAACACCCATGTGTTTCCTTTAACTCCATTAATCTCAGTATCTGCCAAATTATACTTTCAGTAATATAAATACATTTCTTACTCTTTCCGCAGCATGTAGAGTCCATGAAGCACAGGACAGTAAAGCTTCCTACTCCTATCACCACAAGGATCTCTTTCAAAGATTCACCACAGGACTACCAGAGAGACTAATTTGAAGCATCATGTGTTGAAACAACAGAAGTCTTTTCACCTGTTCACTTACTAGAAACAGTTACAATGTTTTCAATTCTTTGAGCTCCAGGAAGCCAGGGAAGTGAGTTGAAAATCTGAAAATGCGGCCATGGACTGGTTCCTGGCGTTGGATTATGCTCATTCTTTTTGCCTGGGGAACCTTGCTATTTTATATAGGTGGTCACCTGGTTCGAGATAATGACCACCCTGATCACTCTAGCCGAGAACTATCCAAGATTCTGGCAAAGCTTGAACGCTTAAAACAGCAGAATGAAGACTTGAGGCGAATGGCTGAATCTCTCCGGTAGGTTATAAAATACTGAAGGAAGAACAATGAAATGTTGTACTTTGTTTTTAGATATAAGGCCTCATTCAGCTGTTGAAAATAGGCAATAATTTCTGTAAACTGATGTCTTTACAAAAATTTAACTGTCTTAATGTAGGGTATTTTAAAAAAAAGTTTTAGTTATAAATGGAAACAATACCTTATTTATTTTTATGTGGTGCTGAGGATTGAACCCAGTGCCTCATGCGTGCCAGGCAAGCACCCTACCACTGAGCCACAATCACAGCCCCATTATAGAGTATTTTTTATACTAATGATACCTGTTTATATTCAATATAGAGAATTCTCCATAGTGGCATATCATGTCTTGCATATGAATCTTATAGAAAAATTGGGCCATTTAATTTTAAAACATTTTATTTATGGTTATCTTTTGCATTGTGAAAATTTTGATAAATTGAACCCAAACTATATATGATTTAAATGAGTATATATTAAAATTCTTATCACATGGGCTATAACAAAGACATTATAACTTTTTAGAGTCTGAGTTAGTCTAACTATAACTTCTTAAAATAAAGAAACAAAAATTCACTATTGAATGAAACAGTTGGATCTGGAATGTGGAGAATGATCAACATTGCTGCTTCTAATGTGACATATATATTTGAAGGCATCAATTGTTTGAGAAACAGTTTCCTATTTTCATGGAAAAAAATAAAGTTTATATAGATGATCTATATTGAGTTTAAAGGTTATGTAACATTTTCTAATTCCTCCACTTTAAATATGAAGATAATCATGTATTATATGCTTGCTATCTCTCAATACTGTTAAGGCTAGAAATGATTTGAGAATCTTTACATTAGAGGTGGTATTTGACTCTAAAGAGAAGTGAAGTATAGAGATAAAGAGCTGAATGTTATTTTCTTTTTGAGAAACATAAATAATGAGTGAAAAGTGGAAACATTTAATATTTTTAAAATTTTTATTTCTTTTGTACTAGTTCTTTTAGGTTATACATGGCAATAGAATTCATTTTGATGTAATTATAAAAGCATGGAATATAATTTGTTCTATTTCAGTCCCCGGTATGTCTCCTTCCCTACCCTCAAGCCACCTTCTGTTCCCTTCCCTCTATTGTACTGATAATTCTGCAATTATAGGTCTTTTTTTTTTTTTCAATTAGTGTCTTGTGGATGTACATGATGGTGAGGTTCACTGTGGTAAACTCATATATGTACATAGGAATGTTAGGCCAGATTCATTCCACTGTCTTTCCCTATCCCATTTTTCTCCCTTCCCTTCATTCCCTTTTGTCCACTCCACTGATCTTTCTTCTATTCTCCAGCCCTCTTATTTTGCATTAATTTCAGAATATTAGAGAAAATATCCAACCTTTGAATTTTAGGGACTGGCTTATTTCACTTACCATGATAGTCTCCAGTTGCCGCAGTCTGACTGGGCTAAATAACCGGGGGGTGATGAGCAACTTGTGAAGGTTGATACAGCGGGAGCCGCTTTATTGTCGGACAGCAGAGGTATTTATACCTAACTCATTATACACAGCTTGTTTCAATTAACATCATCCAGATACATCAATCAGCCATCTAGGAATCCTCATCATCTTAATTACACCCAGCTTAACTCAATTAACATAAACTAGATACAGCAGTCAGTCATCAAGGAATCTCCACATTTAATGGCTCGCTGGTGTTACTTCTCTAACCACTCCCTCTGGCAAAGTGCCAGGCGCCATCTTGACTTGTTTACGGACCCTAACATCCAGTTCCAGCCATTTATTCTATTGTGTATTTATACCATATTTTCTTTATCCATTCATCTGTTGAAGGACATTTGAATTGGTTCCATAGCTTAACTATTGTGAAACTGTTTTGTGTGCTGCTGTAAACATTGAGATGGCTGTGTCACTGAAGTGTGATGGTTTTTAAATCCTTTTGATATACACCGAGGAGTGGTATAGCTTAGTCAGATGTTGGTTCCATTCCTGGTTTTTTGAGGAATCTCCATGTTGCTTTCTACAGTGGTTTCAACAATTTGCAGTCCCACCAATATGTATGAATGTACCCTTTTCCCCATATCCTCACCAACATGTATCGTTACTTGTATTCTTGGCAAAGTATTCTTGATATTTGTCATTCTGACTGTAGCGAAATGAAATCTTAGTGTTGTTTTAATTTGCACTTCTCTAATTGCTAAAGGTGTTGAACATTTTTTCAAATATTTTTGACTGTAGTTTTTCTTTTGAGAAGTGTCTGTTTAGTTCCTTTGCCTATTTATTGATTGGATTATTTGGATTTTTTGGTGTTAAGTTTTTGAGTTCTTTGTAGTTCCTGGATGACAACTTCTTCGAGCTCAAGTACTTAATAAGTCTTGCTGTAATTTCATGTATAAATGTTTAGCAACACAGACTAAACAAAAGAGCACAATTTTATATATATAGACACATAATTTCAGTAAATAACTGGTCATTTCCCCCTGATTAGACCCTTCCATAGACTTCCTTGGTGGGGCCATTTGAATGTCATCCAAAAGAATTTCATTTTAGAGGGAGGGAATTAATGGAAGAGCTGTAGATCGATCAGCATTGGGATATTTTTCTCACTATTGTAATTCAGCAAATATTTTAGACTCAATTTGATATATCATTCTTTTTCCTGTAAGAAAAATATGTTTATAAGCCAGAATATAGAGGATTAATTCAGATGTCTTTAATATTGGGTCATTTGTTTGAGATAAAGCATTTGGACTAGAGTTGGAAAGCAACCCGAAAGCCTTAAACTATGATTTTTTTTAGATTTGGGACAATAATTTTAAAAGCAGTTATCTAATATGCCAAGTTTTTTTGATAGTGTTACAAATTTAGAAAGATAATTTTAAAATCTCTAATTTGAGGTATAAAAATATCCAAGTCAAATGTATGGGAAGTGCCTGTGTGTTGGGATTGGGGTGGGGGTGGGGGGAGCGCGGTCGCGCATGCTCGAGTGTGTGCAAAGTGCGCTTGTTTGACTTATTGATGAATACTTTCCATGCAGTAAAATTTGCTCCTTTTAGCATACAATTCTGAGTTTTGGCAAATATTCTCAGTTGTAATCACTACCACAATCAAGTTAAAAGGATAATTATACCTCCCCTCAGAATTCTGTTATTGTCCTTGTAATAAAGTCCCCACTAACCCACTCCCTAATTTTGGCACCTGATGTGTTTGTAGTCCTATATTTTTTCTGTTCTAGAAAGTCATATAAATAGAACCATGCTGTATATAACTTTTGAGTCTGGCATTTCTTATTTAGCATGATGTATTTGAGATACATCAATGTTATCCTAAAAATTGGTGATTCATTCTTTTTTATTGCAGAGTTGTATTTTTATTCCTTTTTAATGCTGAGAAGTATTCCATTGTATACATATATCAGTTGTATTTTTTTAAAAATCCGTCAGTCAAGCACTTGTGAGCATTGAGTTATTTTTATTTTCTTGACATTTGTGAACAAAGCCACTATTAATCTTTGCTAAGTTTTTATTTCTCTTGGTTAAAGATGTAGGAGTGGGATTGCTGGGTCCTTTGTTAAATACATATTTGACTCCATAAGGAGATACCCAATGTTTTCTTGAGCACCTGTAACTTTTTGAAATTCCCACCAGTAAGGCTTGAGAGTTCCATTTCTTTTTGACCTTGGTGTAATACTTGTTACTGTCAGTTATTTTTATGTTAGCCTTTAAAAATGTATATGTAGTATCATCCCATGGAGGTTTCAGTTTGCATTTCTATTTTGATGTTGAACATTTTTTCATGTTTGCATTTACCATTTATATATCTTTTTAATAATTTTTTCATATCTTTATTTTATTATTTTATTTTTATGTTGTGCTGAGGATTGAACCCAGTGCCTCATGCATGCTAGGCAAGTGCTCTACAACTGAGCCACGGCCTTAGCCCCACCCATTTATATATCTTTGATGAAATGTTTTTTGAATCTGTTGCCTCTTTTTAAAAATTGTTGTTTTATTATTGAGTTTAAAAAGCAGGTTTTTATATGTATCATACAAACTAATGTACAGACATGTATAAAATACAATATGATATAATATAGAAACAGTGGTTCTAGCTATGTATAGGATCATTCATGTGACTGCAGTCATCTGGTAGCTCCACTGGCAGGGCAGGCCAAAATGACCTCAGTCACATGTTTGGCAATTTGTTGGGACCATCAGCTGGTTCCCTTCCATGTGTCCTTGTCAGCAATATAACCATATTTCTTCTTACATAGTACTGTCCAAGAGGGCAAGAGCAGGAATTGCAAGGTCCCTTGAGGTTTGGCATCAGTAATAGCACAGTGTCATTTCTACCATATCCTGTTGGTCATTCCAAGTTGAAAGGCCAACCCCATATTCAAAGAAATAGACTCCAATTCTTGGTTGGGGGAACTTCAGAAGAATTTGTAGCTACATATAACCTACCATTCTCACCTCCAAAAATAAGGTTGAGTAGATTTGATTATTTCAAATAATGGTGTTCTTAAGCAGAGTTGAGTTTAGACTTGATTGATAGACGATAAGGAATGATAGTTGGTTTTCAGTAGAGGAATACTCAATGAAAATTGTAAGGAAGATTTATATTTTCAGATGCATTTGGAGATTTGCCTGACTGGAGTTAAGAAACTCTTACAATATTAATCTAGACATGAGATGAAACAAACTTAAACTAAAAATAATATTGAATCTTTTCACTTTGGTATTTAGACTTCTATGTGCTTAAATTTGCCTTTCCTCAGATACCTCTTTCTTGCTTTTATTTTATTTTTACATTTAAAAAATTTGTTCTTTTTAGATATACAAGACAGTGTATTCTTGTGGTTGTATATGATATGGAGTTTCACTGGTGGCTTTCTTGCTTTTTAATTGCTAGCACATTAGGTACGCATGTGATGTTCTTTCTCTTTAAATCTTATAATCACTTTCTTCACCCTTTGGTGCATCATGTTCATCTTATCTCA